CCAACGTTTCCCCCCCACCTCTTCCCTTCTGTCTTTGACCTAAACCTGGCCGAGACTCCCAAGACAGAATCTCCGTTCCTCGGCCCCGAACGGTCACGAACCCCTTAGTAACCCCCCCTTGACTCCGGCAATTTCACTGCGGAGTGCAACCATCGACTGCAGACTCAGCAATCTAAACGCCGATTTCAAGAGCGACAACTCGTATCCTTTTTCACTTCTTGCCGTAAAGAGCAATAGATTTGACCTAAACCCGACAGAATCTCCGTTCCCCGGCCCCGAACGGCCCCGAACCCCTTGGTAACCCCCCCTTGAGTCCGGCAATTTCACTGCGGAGTGGAAACATCGACTGCAGACTCAGCAATCTGGAAACGTCGATTTCAAGAGAGAAAAACTCTTTATCCTTTTCCACTCCGTGCCGTAAAGATCAATAGATCCCTTTAGAAGTTAAAATAAAACGGGAACCCTCGACTCCGGCAATTCACTGCGAAGACTCAGCAATCTGGAAACGCCGATTTTAAGAGAGGAAGACACTGATATCCTCTTCACTCTGTGGCTTAACGGAAGCCTTAACCAGTAATAGATCCCTTTCGGAGTTACGAAAAGAGGAAACCCCTCGACTCCGGCAATTTCACTGCGGAGCGGAAAACATTGACTGCAAACTCAGCAATCTGGAAACGCCGATTACAAATCAATTCCACTTTACAATTCTACAATTCCAAGACAAGAAGATCCTCTTTCGCAACTTCACTCGACAAGGACAAGAATCAATAGTAATTCCGCATTCGCACATTTATACAACACTTACTAGAGTAACTACACTAAGTACTTAACAATGAATCCTCGACTAACTATTCGCACCGAATCTGCCGAACACGGGTGCAAAGCATTGATAGTTCACACATAGCATTGATAGGTCACACCTTCTTTACAATCAATCACCAACTTCAATAGCAAATTCCACGCCCGCAACGAAGCAGGATGAAGAATCGAAGACCACTTGACAAAGTCGACACTACTCCCATGTCCGGGAGTCCCACTTTCCTCCTTCGTTTACATTCATAATGCCCCGTCTAGAAGCAATGTTCTGCCCCCAATCTTCCTTCTGTTACCTGCTTTAGAACAATTACCCGTCCATACAGACAATATTTGACTAAGTACCACTTCAGCTCGCAACCGTAAAGTGAGTTTTACGCACCTGCGACCCTCGGAAAGGAACTTGTGTACACTGGTGCCCGCCTTAGAAGGCGGACAATCAGCCGTCTCCGGCCTATGAGAAGTGCACTCTGACTAAAAACACTCAGCGCCGTAAAAACTTCATGCACCCAAGACAGTGTATGACTGAGCGTTGTAGCGAGCAACACCGAACAACACGCTGAGCAAACAAGACTCGCACCGTAGAAGCTTTATATACACACCCGTCGCCCTCCAAGCAGATTATAGTATACACCAGTTTCCCCACTAGGAGGACGATAAGCCGAGTCCCGCCTGAAGAAGTGCACCAAGTGACCCGCCTAGTAGTCCAAGCAGATTATAGTATACACCAGTTTCCCCACTAGGAGGACGATGAGCCGAGTCCCGCCTGAAGAAGTGCACCAAGTGACCCGCCTAGTAGAAGGACTATTCAGCCATGTCCCATCGAACAGTCACTGTGGTATACAGCCAGTCCCGTTCTCCCCCTCCCCCTCCGTCGTGTCCCATTACTGTCCACACACAGACTAAACTACACGGAGCAGAACGACCATCATTTCTGCGCATCTCTACATCCGCACCTCCAATTTTCTGAACACCACTCAGTGGCACTCACACGTCGAACACGATTTCGTCCCTCGAAAAATTTTCCTCCCCTCCCTTGACGATCTCGTTCGCTAAACTCGTAAAAAAAAAAAAAAAAAAAAAAAACCACCAAGAAAGGGCCGACCCACGAAACGTTTGACCCGAGTTTGACCGAGATTGACTCACGACACGTGTTTGACCGAGTCGCGAGCGAAGAAAGGGTCTAGTCTCTCTTTGCTAAGGCGCGTTTCTTCGGACACAAGGCGCCCCGACTACGCATGTATACGAGCCAGCTTTCGGGTCTCATACAGGCAACATGAGGTTGCGTTGTTGCGTCCGGGGGAAGGTAGACGATCAAGTGCCGTAACAACAAATCTCTACTGATCGAGTTTGACCAGAACCGAAGAACGAAGGAACCGTTGACCACATCCGAAAAGCGAAGGAACCGTAAGCTCACGGAGCATTTCCTCCAACTGACTTTGTTTTTTTTTTTTTTGTTTTGTATCCCTATGAATTGACTTTTCGAGTCTAGTAATATCACCGAAAACCGGAAAACACAAAGTTCGACAGAATCTGATCAAGTTTTTGATTGACGCAAAAAGAGATGGCTAACAACCTGATCAGTTTTTTTATCTAACTCCAATCTATCACGAGTCATGACCGTACAAATCTCGACAGACAAGTCTCTTCCGTTCAGATAGGATCTAATCTCAAGCGGATGAGGAAAGCCACGTGCCCTAACAATGACAACATGGGCACCCCAAAAAAACGTTGCAAACTATGTCGACCTCGCGCGTCATGATTTCACCAGAATGGGTACAAAACAGAGACACAGAGACAGAGACACAGAGAGAGAGAGAGAGAGCTGTCTCTTATACACATCTAGATGTGTATAAGAGACAGGGCTTATGCTGCCCCCCACGAAGGCTCACTCGCACTGCGCACACTCGCCCCCGGGCGACGTAGTTGCTCTCTCTCTCTCTCGCACTCGACCCTGGGCGACGTAGTTGCTCTCTCTCTCTCTCTCTCTCTCTCTCTCTCTCTCTCTCTCTCTCTCTCTCTCTCACACACACACACACACACACACACACACACACACACACACACACACACACACACACACACACACACACACACACACACACACACACACACACACACACACGCACGCACACACACACACACAGCGCTCGCGCTTGGCCACCCTCTTTTCCCCTCTACCGAAACTATCCATCCACCCAAAAGCTGGTCTCATGCATGGTACCGACGGTCCGGCGACGGATTTCCCTCCAGATTCCTTGTACTCGCTCTCTGCTGCCAGGAGACGAGACAGAGGTCCCGCACACCAATTGATTTCATGCGTGGTTAGATCTTTTTCCGTCGTTTTCCTATCCCCGCCGACATCTCACTCAAACGCCTGGCAAACTCATCCTTCACTCTGCAGGGTCACACGGAGCCGCTTCATCTCAGCTGTGTCTTGGACTTCCGTTACGTCGCGCATTCTCCAATCCCATTGACCAATCACGACCTTCCGCCGGTCGTAATAGCCTCTTCTTCCGTGCATGCCTCTTCTTCTCAGCTGACTTCGACGTCGATGACCTTGGGCTTCTCCGGTTCCTTTGCCTCGACCCTGGCCACGGTCACCGTCAGCACTCCGTCCTTGCACTGCGCGCCAATTTTATTCACATCGGCGTCCTCTGGCAACGTGAAACGACGCATGAACTTGCCCATCCTCCGTTCGACGCGATGATACTTCTCTCCTGCTTCTCTCCTCTCTTTCCTCGGCTCGCGATGACGTTCTCCGCTAATGACCAGCTTGTTCCCGTCTTCCACTTGCACCTTCACGCCCTCGCGGCTAAGTCCTGGCAAGTCTGCCACGAACTCGTACGAGGTCGGCGTCTCTTTGACGTCCACTGCGGTCTTCGCCATAGCCTGCGAGTCCCTCACGTAGCTGCGGCTCGGCTCATCAAGCTTCTCGAACACATCGTCTCCGAGCGATGCCAGCCAGCGCCACGGGTCGTCTCTAGACCCGAAGTCAGCACTCCGCGGGGAAAAGGCTTGGTACCGCGGCATTTCTTTCTGACTGACGAAGCCAAGGAGAATAAGGAGAACAGATGAAACCTGAGCACACTCAGGACAGGAAATGAAATCTCACAGGAGAAGAGAGGAAGAAACCTGATGAGGAAAACGACGAGCTGATAATGATGATGATGGCTGACTGATGAGGAGGAGACAGTCAGCCTGATCCCTATGGCCGGATGCGCAGTCAAATAGACTATCCTACGCATGAACAGCGAGAACGACGAAGGGTGCATAGATAGCGAATGCCCTAAATAAATAGTGGACAGAACACGGAGCGGAACCCCGACCAAGGGCCGCCCGGGTGGCTAAGGGCCTCGCCACACCACAGTTGAAACAGAAAAAGAACGAAAACTCCTCAAAAAGCAAAAAAAAAAGAAAAAAAAGAACGAATGCATCTTTCGCAGATATTCGTTAGGTGCATCCGTTGCTATTCATAGTAATAAGGGATGCATCTCGCCATTCTCTGCCAAAGAATGCACTATTACTCTTTTTTTCGTTTTTGTAATTTATTTATAAAGTAATCTATATTCTTCTCTCAATCTATTTCATCTTTCTTTGGTAGTACGCATCTATCTCATCCTCTCACTAGTCTTTTTTTTTTTTTTTTTTTTTTTTTTTTTTTTGGGAAAGGGCTATGGCCTTGAGGTATTATCATCGGACTAACCAGCCCAGGTAACGGCGAACAAACACCAACCAACCCGGGTCTCTCCCCAGCTCACGGGGTAGGTTTGCACCACAGCTGTGGTGCGAGAGCAAGGCTGTACCAGTCCCTCATCACGGTGACGAGGAGTGGGCAGGCCTTGCCGATGGGGGAAATAGGCGGTGCTAGTGGCGAGCAATGGCCAGTCACTGCACCTCCCCCTACCCCCCCCCAACCCCACATGGCGGTATCTAATGGCCAATATTGTGGTTGCATAGCAGCCAACAACATCAGCCAAGGTCCTGCCAATGCTGGCTTGGGGGCGCAACGGGTTATCTCTAGCTGGTAGAACACCAAGCTTGCCCAGGCACGTACCAAGGCGAATGGGGATTGAACCCACGACCTCCTGAATGCAACTTCTGTGCCTTACGAACTGAGCTAGGGTAGAAGAGGGGGAGGTCACAGAACAGATACGGCTGCTCTTTCAACAGGAAATCACGGCACAATGGCACAGCGTTAAGGAAAAACTGAGGCAGGTGCACAGCAGGGGTGATACCATCATCTCCCGCTTCTGTGAAGGCTGGCTTGGGGGGGAGAGGGAGGGCTGGGTCGCAAGGGTGAGCTGGACAGGAGACAGGCTGGACCATGGGGAAGGACAAGAGGGAGACGTGGAAAGAGATTATCAGCTTCTCTTTAAAGACTGGACAAGGGTGGATCCTCGAGAACAGATGAGACCTGCGCAGGATTTCGGCGATCCCTTTCCTCCCCACTCTTTGGCCGTGGAGGAATATTTGGGGGCTTAGAGGCATTTTAAGCACTCAAAAAAGACATAGCAGGGGATTCCTTGCAAAATTTCCAGTATCTCTCAGTATTTTTCAGTATTCTCCAGTGCTTCTTAGTATGGGTTGGGAGGCTCCTTTGTAAGTATCTTTCCTGAGCATTCTCAGTACTCTGCAACATTTTTCAGTATTCTTGGCTTGACAACAATAAGGCGTTCTATGGACAGTTGGTGGACAGCTGTGGGTGGTGGGCAGGGGCTGGGTGAAGGAGGGAGTCTCCACTGGTGCCCCCCCGGTGGACCTCCCCCCAACACCCGACCGTGCCACAGGTTGGGAAGGGAAATACAGTTTCGAGATGGGACACTGGACCCGGTTTCCAGCACAAGTGGTGTCTTGTTTAAAATAGAGAAGTGGTAAAGATGTATTCAAGGAACGCTGGACCCGGTTTCCAGCAGGTGATGCTCCCCACCAATAGATGGAGCGGTGTTAAAAAAAAAAAAAAAGAGCTAGGCCCGCCGGCCTCCTTTTTTCGTTCCGAGAGTGGCCCTGAGTACTGCTTTCATGCAGTAACGGTAGTCAGCGGATCGTGATTCATGAGTTCGACTCCCGCGATCCGTCCCGTGCGCTGTGATTCGGAGGACGTTGGTTGGTCGTGGTCTGAAGATGCATGTTGAACAGGCGCTGGACGGCAACGCAGGCAATGCTGGAAGGCGACGTCAGCGACAGGCCAGGTTGTTGTAGAGACCGGCCACAAAAAAAAAAAAAAAAAAAAAAAGAGGCTGGCCACCAGGCCTATGACAGGCCCGTCAGCAACTAGCCATTTGATCATTCCGACGCATTGCATAACCGGCCCCCTATGAGACACCCTCCCACCAAAGCAGGCAATGCTGGAAGGGGACGGTAAGTTGGTAGTAGACCGGACCGGAGGTCGTTTTTTGTTTGTTTGTGCAGGTTGTTGTAGAGACTGGCCACAGCGGCCTAGCTCGATTGGTTAGGCAAGAAAGTGACATTCAGGAGGTGGTGGGTGGACTCCTGTGGCACTCTTGGTGCCAACCAACTGAGATAGTCTGCTGGATCCTCCCAGTCCGTATCAGTAAGGTCTTCAGCCAACATGGATGTGCCGGCACGTGTGAGTGGGTTGGGTGTAGTGTGTGGGAGAGAGTGGGTTGTAGACACTACTGTTACTCGATGGGGTTGGGGGAAGATGAAAAGGAGGGCACAGTTTCTGGCAAATGCCCGGTCCTTGTGTGAGCCGCCCCCCCATACCCTGAACTAAAGGCTAGGGCAACTGAGAGAGGTAAACTCCCTTCACCAAAGAGAGGTAGAAAGCTATGCTTGCAGGGGTCCCTGTATAGCCGTAGGAGTAGTGGTAGGTAGGTACTGAAAGAAAGATATGTTCTTTGACATGGCAAAACGCCAGTCGACACCAGGCGTATGTAAGGTGAGAGAAAAATATATGGCTGTCCCCGATGAGGAGAAGGCAGATTAAAAAAAAACAAAACAAAAAAAGAGGCTGGCCTGTGACGCGCAACCTCACGCCCAGCGCGACTTCCTGATCGGAGTGGAGTGTGGGCCTGGAAGTGCGAAAAGGGGTGTGCCAAGGATTTTTGGGGGAAGTGGGGGAGTCTTAGGGGTATGAACGCAATTAGGCGAACGAGGGGTACGCGCGCAAGGGTCTCACAGTCCGAAGGGGCCCAGACACTGCGGGCGACGTGTTATGGGAAAATTCCTCCGTGATGGAGATGGTCCTCAATAGTTAGGCCGTCGGGGGCCGCCACGTGGCGCAGGCCGCCGCGTAGCTGGGTTGGGCCTTCGGAATTCCGGGGTTCTCTGTGCGCCGCTGCGTCGGCAGTTTACGCAAAACGTATTGGGCCAATAGGGGGCTATGGCCGGCCACGGAACGACACTGAGTTGATGATACGGGAGAAGGAGTCGGAAAGGAGGGAAACTGGTGGTGATCTCAACGAATCCCGGGTGGGTGAAGTAGTAGGTGTGGTCGGGGGAAGGGAAATCGAAGCACCGAGGGTCGCTAGTGGTGGCACAGTGGAATTCCCGCGGACATAGCCGATTCTCCGTGTGACAGGGGTATCGCGTCCTTATGAGCTCGTTTATTATAGGGGTGAAATAGTCCGGGTCATAAGACGAGTCTGAGCCCCAAGATCGCGTCATGGTATCATTGCCGATGGGATAGCGCGGGTCGGGATATCGTTTGAGTCACTGCGCACGAGCACGTGTAGGACAGGCTGACTCAGCGGCGCCTCAGTGTGCTCGTACGGGATGATGGTTCCGCCGTGATTCCTTTCTGGGCGAGCGAGTCGGCACACGGGAATGCATGTAAGGGCGCGACTCGGATCGCGTTTACACGTGTTCTCGTGCGTCGTTCGCAGGGCCAGACTTCGGATCGCCTAATTGCTTCGTAAGTTTCGGTTATGCATGATGCAACCATACCACAACCTCATCGTGAGACAAGCAAAAACGAGGACGAAATCGATATCGGGGCCAAATTCTTATCCCATCTATCGCTGCATCCGGTGCAGGCAAAGATTCGGCACAAACAAAAAGCAAGGACAGGGATTCTCAGCAAAAAGATAGACAAGCAGTCCCATCACCCATACCTCCATACATTCGACAATCATACACATAATGCAAGTCGGACAGACATCGTGAGGGCAAATGTGAGCAAAAATCCAAGCCCAGATTTCAGAAAGCCGAGACAAAAATAAGAATGGGCAAACCGCCCGGAGCCGCAATCAAAATGTATGTACACAGATGAAGAGGGGGAAGAGACAAAGAAACAACAAATCCACGTCCATCAACCTCAACTCTCTTCTTCTCTCTCTCTCTCTCTCTCCGATGCGGACAGTTCGTCGTCACGCACCAACCCACGAAGTCGTCGCCCCGCTTAGTCCTCCCGCACCCATCGGATTCGCCCGTGCCCATAGTCCGTCGTGGCCCACGTCAATCCCCCGCGTTCGGCACCAGCCCGTCGGG